TGAACCTGTTCAGCCCATTCAGAGAAGTTGAGGCCATTAAACTTAACAACAGACGTGGCTTGCGAATGAAGAGAAACAGGAAAGATGCTGCAAACATATATAACATGTACTCACACATTAATGCTTTGGGTAATAAGCATAAACTATAATACAGATTCGGAAACATAAACATAAAACATATATTGGTGCTACCTTTGGGCAAAACAACAATATATATGCGATAAATAATCGTAATTGATGCTCAAAATAATCATATAATTGGTGATAGACATACTCAAATTAGATATACTTGCAATCTTTTGATATACTAAATATATCTAACCAAGCACATCAATTTACCACAATAATGTTCAATAATTATAAAACGAGCAATCAACCTTTGGGTGATTCGAAAATATTTTATAATCACGAACTTCAACTTTAAAGCATCACATAAACATTAGTAGTTGAACTTGATTCAACTTGATATCTATAAACCTTCTAATTTGGTCACTTTGGTGACTAACAAATTTAATCATAACATAGATATCAAAGATATAATTTAACTAAGTCAAAGCAATTGTTAATTATAATTCTCAAAACACATACACAAAACTTGTTTCATTAATGTTTTTTATTTTATTTTATTATAATAATTACTTAACTGATCAATCATCAATCCTACTGATCAAATTCCAATTCATTCTTTGCCCCTCGTTGCCATCTATTGGCTTCATATATATATAATTACCTACTGATCAAACTTACTGATCAAGTATATATAATAACCATCAAGCCCATAATCACAATAACCGTGCGCAATACATGTTTCAATTGATGGAATTTGACAAGCATAATTGCACCCTCATAAACGACAAAGCAAGAATGGCTTGGAAATTGACAACCAGGTGCCTGGACAAAAGGTACAAATAAGAGGAAGAATGGCTTGGAAACCTAAACCGTACAGCCGAAGTATAATGGCTCTCATATGCAGAGCTTGGCGCACAGATGCAGCGAAAATAAAATACGTAAGCGAAAATCATCTATTCATGTAAACTCTAATGCTCTGATACCACATGTAAACATAGATCATAATAGCATGGATTTTAGAATTAGATGATTTCACGAATCAATAACAGATCGGGGAAACCTACCTCGATCCATGACGAGAGCGGCGGCGGCGCTGAAGTAGTAATCACCGGAATTGAGTTTCTCCCTCTTGACCCCTTTAGGTTTTAGGTTTAGAGATTTCTGTGATGGCTAAGAAATTCTACGTAATGGGTTGAGAGAGGACCAATCCTAGAGCTTCTTTATATAGACCCACCATCAGGGCATATTAGGAATATACCTTTCATTAACCTAATCAATATAGGATTTACCTTATATTAAATTATTAAGTGATAATTACACTTGGGCCACAATTATTCCCTAGTGACCTACGGGAATTGGACTTACATTGGGGCCTTTGAAGATTTGGGATACACTTTGAGGTAACATATGTAGGTACTTTTAAAATTAAAGATACTCATATTAGGATACTTGTGAAAGAATATGGAACGTTCAAAATGAATGATATTGACAAGTGAAAAAGGTAGTGTGAATTGTTTCGGATGTAGAGGAGTAATAAAAAGTTCAAAAGGAAACACACTTTGTTGCTATTAGTTTCAGGTGTTAGAAGTCGAAGATCATAGAGGTTTTGTTTGCTCATGCCAACATTGAACACTATGGACTCATGGCACTTGAAAATAATAACAAAAAGGTTCTCCCATAACCCCTTCTTCAATGCGCGGATGTATACTCAAATACTGATTATGGTCAATAATCTTCAAGTAAGCCTTACAGATATTGAGAGTTGAACATATGCATCTTTCTGTTAATCACAATGACCTAAAGAAAAGAATGAGAAACCGTGATAAGATTTTTGAGGAATTAAAAAAATTCTAGTGGAAATAAAGAAATATGTGCAAAGTATGATCATGAAAATTGACAGTTTTGACAAACAAAGTCTAAAACCGTCTAATGAAATAAAAAAGGGAAAATTAAAAGGTATATAGTGTAAAACTAATATGAAGAAACACATAAGGTGTTACAATTGTAATTATTATGGACATTTTCACTTTTAATGTACAACAAATTTATGTAACTATTGTTATCAAAAGGATCATACTATACCTAAGCCACGAGAGACAATAATTAGAGAAAATCAGCTCTGCTTTCTTCGGAGCTGCATTGGCGATTCCCTTGACACGAGAGGAGATATGGAAGGCCATGAAGGAAATAGGAGGGCTTAAAGCCCCGAGGCGGGACGACTACCCAATGTCTTTTTCCTGAAATGTTGGGGCAAGATTGCGGACCCTTTCGTTAACCATATTGGGTAGTGCTTTAGGAACCCTGAACGTATTGCTGGTTCCAATGAGGCCCTCCTGGTCCTCATTCCCAAGAAGGAGAATCTGGAAACGATGGCACATTTAAGACCGATTGAACTGTGTAATGTTCTCTACAAATCTTTAGCAAAGTGTCTGGCTAATTGGATTAAGCCTATGATGAGCTGTCCGGTTCATAATACGCAAACTAGTTTCGTTTCCAGGCAGGCATATCACGGATAATATTATTATTCTTCAAGAGGTGGTGCATTCAATGGAGTTGAAGATTGGAAAACGAGGTCAGATGGTGGTGAAGATCGACTTAGCTAAAGGCTGTTGGGATTTTTAGTGGTGTGAATGGAAATAAAAGGGGAAAGTTTCAAGAGAGTCTCTTGAAGTACCATGTTGATAAGATGTGGGAAGGCACGACCTCGAATTCGATCGATTTGATGTAATATGTGGTTAATCGGTTAAATTGGTTTGTGTACCAAACGGACCAAACCATACTGAGTTGAACCAAATTGAACCGAATCGATGTGGCGGTTGGAATAACCAAGCCGGTCCAACTACCATGGGCCGAACCGATGCAATGGTTCATTATTTCAAACATGAACCAATGTGTTGGTTGGGGTGTAACCACCCATACGAAGAGTTGCCTCCCCTCGTAAGCACCCCTTCATTTTCTATAAATAGCACCATACCCCCTCTAGTTTTAACTATGAGATACATAGATTTTTTCCGATACGAAAATTCTGCCAAAATCCAAAACTTTAAGGAGAGATAGTGAATTCTATCGGCTAGGACGCTTCCATATGTCCTTGCATGTTTTCTTAATCTTACGTGTTTGCTTGTGTTGCAAGAAAATAGTATACGTGAACAATTTCTCCAACAATCTTTTCTTTCATGTATACTGCTTGCGTTTGTGAAATTATGTTGTAACTGTTAATCCACCATATATACGCTTGCGGTAATTGGTAATCCGCCACAAGATTGAAACAAGGAATTCATTTCCTGTATCTATACGTGCTTGAGTAGCATCACTTGTATGGCAGATTTACTATTTTGGTTCTAAGGAACAGAGTTCCTGTACATTATGGAGACACTATTTTGAATACCACCATGCTATTATTTTTTGTTGGTTGTGTGATCTCAGTACTGTTTTTGAGTTTCTAGAAAATTGCATCATTTCGGACTATACGTCTTCTCTTTGGAACAATTTCATCACTCTGATTTTGGTCATTGTTATGTGAATTAATCACTTCTACGAGTTGGTGGCCTAGAGGAGAAATGTCATTCGGTCGTCAATTGATACCAGATTTGCAATGGGACGGTCCTGGAAGTGTTTTTGACCCAGGTCATGTTGATTTAATTAAATCAATGGTACTAATGCATTGACCCTGGTCATGATGATGTGACCTCTTGGTGGAATTGTTGGAGAGTATCCAACCAATTCATGGATCTTGAAGGTCTTCGTAAAGAAAATCCTATTGCTGATGATCGGTGCATCTCATTATCTGGCTTTGAGAACACCATGGATGCGGATCATAAACCCATGGACGAGGAGGAGTACTCCGATATGGAGTTCCTCTGGCATATATATATATATATATATGTGTGTGTACATACAGTAGCAGTATGTATATATCTATGTAAATCATGTATTTACATGATGAATAAAGGACAAATGTTCCCCCAAGTGGAAAATTAGTTGGATAAAACCTTACGAGTTTGTTTGGTTACAAAATTAACCACAAAGTTTTAATGCTTTTATTGCATTGGTCCATTTCATTTTTGTGGCATGGATGATTGATAAATGTGCCAATTTAATTTGGACTTCATTCAAGGTGATGCATGAGAGGATGGAAGTACTTATGATAGTTCTTCATGGACTCTAAGTAACAGTGGTTTGGATAGTAATAAACTATCTAGTGGGAAACTATGAACAATCATAGGTATGTGAAACCTATGACGAGAGGCTAGTAGGGACTTGTTTGTCAAGTCTATCTAAGCCAGAATGTTTGCATATGTTATGTTCAAAGTAAGTTGAACATAGTTATGAAAGAGTATACCTCCAATGTATTGGAGATGAAGTTTGGTTGATGCACGTTTAAAGGTTTTCATTACGAGTATGTGGTTTAGGAAAAGGTTTTCATTCCTAAGATGCTTGTGATGACATAATAATTTGCTTATTATGTATGTGGTTTAGGACTTGATGTTTCCTATGCCACGAGGGCAAGGAAAATGAAGCTATGATTGATCCTTATAGGGATTTAATAAGCTTGCCAAATGATGGTCGTCATCAAGATAAGCATTAGTTCAGAATTGTTTATGCTATAAGTACACTATACCATTGGAAAACAATTTGACTATGATTATCGACGTGGAGCTAGTTGCCAGAACTGTTTATGGTATATATAGATATATATCATTGGAAAAAAATTTGGCATGAGAGCTCAATTGAGATGATCTTATTGAACCTAAAGTCTGGATTACTTATGGTATATTTATGAAGTTTATACTATTGGAAAGTAATTAGACAATTGGATAAGAAATTCGTTTGAATTACTTCAGTTAAACCGCGGTTAGTCGACTTCTCTGAGCCTCTCTACCCCATTCCCTCTCTCATTTCTTCTTCCCACCGTATTCTCACTGACTCACTCAGTATGCTCTCTTGGGGACAATGATGGAGGCTGTCAGGCGGCGGCGCAACTCAACGGTCAAGCGGTGGATGGAAAGGGAAGAGGAAGGATGGAGACAGTCAGGCGGTAGCGTGACGCGACGAGGATCAGAGCTGGGCGGCCACACAACTTGACGAGGGAGGGATCTGGGCGGCAACGAGGAAGGGAGCTGGTGGAGGTGAAGAAGGGATATGTGCAACGGCGAAGAAGGGAGTTGGGGCGGCGGCATGGAAGGGAGCTGGGCGACGGCGAGGACGAGATGTGGGCGGCGACGCGGTGAGGAAGGAAGCTGAGGGCGAGATTAGCCGATTAGGGTTTTAGATTTGGGGTAAAAGGTTTGGTTTGTCATTTGGGGGGGGGGGGGGGGGGAGGGCGAATCTGAGGGTTGGTCGGTTTTCCAGGTAACTGTGGTTAATTATCATCGGTTACTCTGAGCCTCTCTTTCTCCCCTGAGAACCGACCGAATACACTTTGGCCTCGGTTTTTGGTTAGCTAGAAACCGGTCGGTTTTGGTTATAATCGACGGTTATCCGCTAACCAAAAAATGAATAGCCACCCCTACTTTAAAGCGTTGGTGCTTTAAACAAAAATTTTAAATTGTACCATAACGTTAAAGGTACAAATTGAAGTTGTACCATAAGATAATTTGCACCTTTATGTTATGGTAGAATTTCAAATTGTAGCATAGCATAAATATAAAACTGAGTTTGTACCATAAAGAGATTTATACAAAAGAGTATAGCTACAACTTAAAGTTGCACCATAAAGGCAAAAAACTAAACCACCAAAACTTTAAAGCATTGTAAAATTTCTCCACAATAAAAGCAAATTTGCAGGAAGCCAAGAATCGGATATTTTGAATCCAAGTGATTGGTAAGTGGATAGTGTCTGCTCTGCTCAAATCACATGACAGGATTTAGGAGTAAGTTCAAAGGCCTCGTTACAATAAGAGGAGGTTATAATTGCGGGAATGAGTACCATTTGTTATACTTACAATGTTAATATACCAAATGTGCGGTTTTGATTAGCTTGCTAACCTAATAAGGGATGAAAAAATGACACCCACTTAGTATTAAATGCAACTTATAAAATTTATCACTCATATTAAATACACATAGGAAATTAAATACACTGTATTAATTACTTATTATTTTTAATTTAAACCTACACTAATTACAATTCTCTCTCACTATTTCTGATTCTTCCTTTTCCAGTAGACTCCGACCACCAGGCTTCCTCCGCTGCCACACTTCTTCGGCGAAATCCCGCCGACAGAGACTTCCTCGGACCACCTGCAAAAATGTACCACTACATTAAAAAATATACCAGTGCACTAATATGTTGTATCAGTGCACTGATATTTGTACCACTACACTTAAAACTCATGTATGATATTTGTAGCAGTGCACTGGTAACATTACCACTGCAATTTAAACTCATATATGACATTTGTACCATTGCGTTGATATTGCTAGCAGTGTAGTGATATGGCTACTAGTGCATTGGTAATGCTAACAGTGCACTAGTACAAATATCATATCTGAGTTTAAGTGCAGTGGTACAAATATCAGTGCAGTGGTACAAAAATCAGAACTGGACATCAGAAAGTCAGATATGGAAATTGAAAATTCATCAGGAGAGGAGCGTGGGGGAGGAGGGCGGCGCAACAATGGAGGATGGTGGTAGCGATGCCGGAGGATGGTGACGGTAGGACGGCGACGACTGGAGAGAGGAGGATAGTGGTGGTGGAAGGCGCTAGAGGAGGACGACAACAGGAGGGATGGTGGTAACCGGAAGGAGGACAGTGGGCGGCAGCAGGGCGAGGGGAGTGAGGACGGGGTGGTGGGGAAGACAAGAGGAGTGGTGGTGGATTGCACCGGCAGAGAAGGGGAGACAGAGGTGGTGGTTGCACAGAGACGAGATAGGGAGAGGAAATGGCGGCAAGAGAGAAGGAGAAGAGGAGATGGACTACTTGCTTTTTTTGAAAGAGAATTGATTTAGTGTATGTTTAAATTTGAAAAAAAGAAAGTAATTAATATGTGGTATTTAATTCCTAATTTTTATTTAATATGAGCGTTAAATTCTACAAATTATATTTAAGTTCTACCATTTTCATTAATACTTGCCAAATGATTGATGAAAAAAATGGACAAATGACGAAGGGAGTGTCAAAAATCAAACCACTTTAATGGTAGGCACCGTATCTTACCCCAAAAGTGCTTCTAGTTGAGAATCTAAAGTGTTACTTACTCTCAATAGGTCAACTTTTTGAAAACTTATGGTAATGTCTATTTTTTATCCAAACGTTTTTCAGATTCTTTTATATTATCCAAACCTATTAAAATTCTATTAATTATCCAAATCTTTCGTAATGCATCAAAATATTATCCATTTTTACGTTATCGTTAATAATTTTGTAACTCTTTTCTTAGTTAAAATATTAAAATTTTGGAATGTTGACATTCAAGAGTCTATTTCAAGTTAGTATCATGTTGCCAAGTCAATATTACTAAAAAAATTACTAACGGGAACTTAACATTTGGCTAATTCTTAGAATTTTTCGATAGGTTTGGATAATATAAAAGAATCTGAAAAAGTTTTGGATAAAAAAATAGACATTACCCAAAAATTTAAGAGCAACTTCTGGAAGGTTGAAAGAATACCAGACAAGAATGGAAGAAGATTCAAACAAGCAGGGGCAGGGACGGAGCCAGCTTGCTGGCGGGGACCATGGCCCCGCCAAGATTTTAAATAGCTTATAATACCGAGTAGGTTTCATAATTGGCAACTAGCTCAACTGGTTGGAATGTTTGTTCCCCTTACTCATTTTCTGATATGAAGTTAATTTATATAATTTTTCTTAATTTTTTGAAGTTAAATCGTCGTTATTAGAAAAAAAAATAAGTAATTGTTTTCTGGGGTATTTCAAGATTCTAATGAAATATTTTCTTCATGAATTTACAGAATGTTGTGCTAAGTTGATTTCAATTTTTTATTTCATTGCATGTCCTTGTGACGGTAATTGTTTTGATTGTAATAAAAGGTGGTATCTTATCCATGAATTATTAATCGCCTATTTGTTTCGTAGTAAAAATCGTCCATTATTTTTGTAAATCTATGAAAAAAATTTATCTAATTTAATTTTGTTCTTCATTATGTCATGGAAAAAAGAAAATAAAAATTTATCGACCCCATTAATTTCAAATCCTGCCTCCGTCCTTGAGCAGGGGAAGGGATAAGTTGAGGTTGGATTTGTAGTTCTGCGTGTAGTTCATTTTTTTAGTTTTATTGTGTTGATTTTCTTTGTTTTCAAAATTGAATAATAAAAAATAGGCATAAGTTGACCGATTTATCATCTTTTCATTCACTTTCACATCACAAAAAATTTCCATCTCAGCACTGCATTGGCTTTATGCTCAATCTTAACCGCCAGAAGATTTAAAGGAGACTTAACAGTTCGCTATTATTATTATTTTTTTTTGTTGTTTTGTTTCAATAGATATGACTAATATTTTGTAAAAATTGAAAATTTTGGTTATTATTTATTTTTTGAGTTATCACTTATCAGGGTAACACTGATTCGTGGCACTGACTTAAATTGCTAAAGCTCTGACAGTTTGTTCATTCTCATCTTATCATTGGTGGATAGGGATGCTGATTGGAATGGAGAGTTGATGCTTTTAATATATTGTGAAGGAAATCTGGGAGTCCCTTTGTCCAAATCACTAAAGGGTTCCTTGATCATTATGAATCGGATTCAGAAGAAAAAAAGGGACAAGATGCAGCAAGGACGTCCTTGCTTTGCTCACGACGATGCGATTCTGAAAGAGAGAACGCAACCATCTGTTCGCTCACTTTCCAAGGCGTTCATATTCTCTAGTTGCCGGGGACCAAGCCACACCAACTGTTGCGATAGGGTGGCGGCATATGTTCTTTTGGACTAAATCTAAACAACAAGAACAATACATATTACAAAACACGTGTATTCTACAAATTGATGGCTTCATACGATACTAAATACTTAGACTTTCAAGGATTGAAAGAGCGTACTAAAAAAGTTAATGGTAGGGTATTTTATGCCAAAACCGCGATTAAACCATTTTATAACGTAAAAGACCGCCTACTAGTTTTGCTTCTGGTAGGAGGTTTTTCTGGTCGAACCGCCACTACGGTACTGTTTTTCAATGCTTGCTTCCAGTATGCATACTTTACACAAACAAAAGCTTTAGTGCTACTCACTTTGAGCCCGTCCATTTTTTTTTATAAAAAGAGATTCAAATCTTCAAAACATTCTCGAGCTACTTTTTTTGCGAATCCATTATTTTTATGAAATGAGATTGAAAGTCTTCATATCATTCTCAAATAGCAATTTTAGAATAGTAACTATTCTAGTGACTAGAGGTGGAAAGTGTATTAGATCCATGAATTGGTGGATTGAAGTAGTAGATCCATGGATCAAATAGATTGGTGGATTCATGGATTGATAGTAGATTGATCCATAGATCCAAATGACATCCAATATTTGGACCAATATATAAATGTTAAAAAGTTTAGGCACTGAAATGTCATAATAATAAAATTTAGGTACAAAATTGTAAATTATAAAAAAATATAGGTACTAAATTATAATTTGCTAATGATTTATGAATCCACCAATTCAATCGAATTTGTATTTGGGATAAATGATTGAATTTAAATGAATTAAATTAGTTAAAGATTAAAGTGGATGGATTTAATTGGTTTATTGCCCTCCAATCTGATGTGGATATTAATAATATAGCACAATCCACCTGCATCATACCCAAACAATAGTATTTCAAGTCTTGATATATGTAAATTGTTTTGCCATTTGAATAATAGTTGGAAATCTCATAAGATAGTAATTGAAGAAGTGGAAAATCACGACGAACTGGAGTCTTTGACAACATGGGCTTAACCAGATCATAACCGTAGAGGGTCTCAATCAGAGGGTATTAAGCTGTGCTCGTGCCGGAGTCACTGCTCTACTTCGCTATGTCGAAGTATAAAATTCAGACATATGGTTGAGCAATAGTAGAAAATTCAGACAAGATGCTAAAGTTTAGAAGAGGTTTACAGTACCACAAATCACAATAGGGGTACTCAGAAAAAGAATTCCAAGCTTCACTCCTCTAAGTGGTTGCCATTGATCCTTCTTAGTTTAATAGCGAAGAACTAATCAGTAATAAGATCTCAACCGTCGGACTGACTCACTTCACCTCGCCGTGCCTGTGGCTCTTGAAGTCGCATACACCGAGTTCTCATACTTGCCATTCCACCTGTAAATTTCCAGCACCATAACATTTCAGTAAAAGATGATGTATTCTTCTTCTTCAACCTAACCTTGCTAGGCGCGATTAAGTGACCATCACTGGATTCACGGAAAAAGCTGGCGAAGTTAAAACCAAACTCACCTGTTTTCTTCCTTCTCCGGAATTTGGAGCTCTAAGTCCATTGCAAATGGGCGGAACACGTCATCCACCTTGGAATCATCAACTTCTTCACAAGTCGGTGGATCCCACTGCACCCAGAGTTCATGATTTTGTTAACGGCTAGCAACTTGGGTTATCGAGATAGAGCACGCATCAGCAGCATGATTAGCAAGGCAGAACGAGAAAGCGTACCTTGGGAGCATTATCCTTGTCGACAGTCAAAGCCCTTATACCCTTTTCCGAAGAAGAACCAAGCAAAAAGATTAAATCAAGATCTAACTAGGATTACTGCTTTTCTGTAACTGCCATGTTTCTCTTCTCTCCTTCCCCAATTAACTTTGAATTTCTGGAAAGTTTATAACTACCGTACCTCATAGACATCACCAGAGATTTTCGTTCTCAATATGTTCATTGTCAATCTGAACTCTTTCTTGAGACATTCACCCAATGCTTGCTTCCTTCCTTCGCGTACCTGGAAACACATTAGCAAATGAATCAGTTGTAAGCCATCCATCAGAAACAAAGAAGTGTTGGGATGAGAGTTGGAGTTGCAGCTGAGGAATCCTTCTCCTTGTTCGAAAAGGATTGGGAGAGGGGCCAAACACAGTTCAAACTCGTATGTGTTACATATGAAACTGTGTCGTTTGGTTTAATTCAGTCAAATCCTTGAAGTTGTGTTTTGTGTCAATCAAGTCATGTGAGTTGTTAAAGGTTTTTTAATTTGCAGCCGAGTTGTTGATCATGGGCTGTTGATTTTCACGGCTGTTAGTTAGTGGTTGGAGATGTGAAAGCCAAGTTTGTGGCTTAATCATACGTACTTATGTTCAAGTTTCTCACTTCAATAAACTTGCCAGATTGCAGGTACATTTAGCTTTCAAGAATAAGCCATAAAAAAGGGAAGAAGGCATTACCGATCGAAGCGTGACCTTAAGTCCTGTGGGGGATGATCTTTTCAATCCTTTGAGAATTGGAACTATCCATCCATTTCCTTCCTTGCTTGCCTCTGCTTCCTGTGAAGTGAGATTGGAGAAGAGTCAGACCTTGCCACTGATGATAGAGAAACAAATTTAAGAGGGAAATTGTGATAAAGCCAGAATAAAGAAAAGGAAACACAAAGATCTGACCGGGGAAACTTACTAATGATTTGATGATATCAACTATCGTCTCCTTTGAAAAGCATTCATCCAGCACTGACTGCCTAAAAGGCCATACCACTATATCAATGAAACTACCATAATTACATTTATGTAACAGAATGTCAATATTTATCTGCAGATTTAAACAATTACTTGCTTAATAAACTATCTTCGCCAAGCTGGATGTCCTCTGAGAATTCCTCAATGACTGAGTTGACAGCATCTATACCACCGGAGTTCAAGTTGATCAGATGCTTCTCCAGTTCAGGCAATTTCTGAGACACATGAACAAGCACAAGTACCATTTCTGTGTTAGCAATAAGAGTGGAAGTGACGAACACAAATTTTCTTTGTAGGATAGTAACTTAGATTATTAGCCACCTCTGATGGGACAAAATGGGTCGCCATGCCAACCGTCACTAGTTCCTTCCCATTAAGCCTTGATCCAGTCAATGCCAAGAACTCTCCTATGAACATAGGTAACAATTAGCACCACGAGGAAGAAAGAATTGTACACTAAAAACATCAAAGTAGCCCATTAGCTCAGTTGGTATAATGTTTTGTTATAATGCCAAAGGTCTCAGGTTGTAGACCTGCATTGACTAATATTTAACGTTTTATCCCTTCAAGTTACCTAGGTACCCAGGGAGGCGTGAAAGCATGTAGGAGAACCCACAATCAGTGTGAAATCCAATACTCGCTTCTGGAGTTGCAAATACCTACAGATCCATCCACAACATGCAGCAGGTAAACATCTAAAAATTGATCAACTGAAATGCAACTGTTCTTAGTAGAGAATAACTAATTCATAACGAACCAAGCTGCCCAATACACACCGTTTTCTCGGTCACCACAGAGAACTTCATTGGGACCATGAAGGATGCACCTCCACCCATGGAAATCCCATGGACAAGAGCCACCTGTTGATGCAATTTGCAGTCATCAAATCTGCATAACTTTCTTCATTCCAATCGGCAATCACCAACATATTCAGAAAACAATTTGGCGTGAGAATGAAAATAGTACCTGCGTTTTCTTATATGAATGGATATGATAACAAAGCCAGTACATTCTATAGACCACTTCAAGGCAAGAATCCTCTGACAAGAAGCAGATGTGTCATCTTAAAGGTGCATCTTACTACTAGTGGGCAGTTCAAGTAAATAGATACACTATTTACGCAAAAATGCATATAGTGACCATGTGAGGAAGAGTAATTGAAGAAATCTAGAGTAAGTCTTGCAGAAGGGAGAAGGCTTTAGAGAGGATAACTGGATACCTGAAGTCCTGCCATCGTAGAACATTTTCAGATCCCCACCAGCAGAAAATGCACGTCCAGCACCCTGAAGGTGACACAAAGTGGCATTCTCAAAAAACTTCTAAAACCCAGAACAGCCCGAAGGGTAGATCAATGGAGGAACGATTGCCCTCTTTCATCTCTCAACTCACTGGACACATTTCAGATCATACTGTTAGCAAACATTGATTCATTTGTTTGTCATTGGTATTCTCTAGTTTCTATGACTTCAATTTGTACTACAACTAACCAAATAAAATAATTTTTGAACCTTGATTGCACTTGAAGTTTGATTGTAACTTTGATCTTCAATAAAAACTAAATACAACTAGTTTTAGCCCGATTCTCCAGCAGGATCATGAGTCATATCGATATTTAGGATTTAACATACTTGCTGAAGCTAATCGCACAAATAGATATGAAACTACTAGTTGCAAAGAAGGATAAAGAACTAGCCTTGATCAGTATAAGGTGTACATTATCGTCTTTCTCCCATTTCTCCAGAAAATCTGCCAGCAGAGATACCTGATTGCCGTATAAGAGAAGAAGCAGTAGCAAAGGTTTGCAGTTGCAAGGAAGTCTATTCTCAATACATGTAAAAGTTTGAGCTAGCAAAACATACCACTTTCGATGAGATAACATTCAATTGACGAGGCCGGTTCAACGTGAGCAGCCTTACACGGTCTATCTCTTCTCCAAGAACAACCTTGAAAGAAGGAACAAACCAAAAGCTCCATTGAGACAATTAGCAGAACACTTGGCAGGCACACAATGCTGAGAATTGGGCACGAAGAAAGAAGGAAGCTAATCAAACCTGCTCATCTGGGTTCACAACTTCTTGAGCCATTTGAATGAGCTGATTGATGTTTCCGACTGTTTTCAAGCAAGAAACCGATCAAGAGAAGGAAACAGAAAATGTGCACATAAATTTCCCAAAAACAGAGCTTAACAAATGCATGCAAAAAACCCAGAACCTAGAATACAAAATCAGCGGAATTGGAATGAATAGATATAAAGAACAAAGACAAACCAGTTTTAGGTGGGCAGAAGAAAAATTTTCTAGCGACCAAGAAGCAAACGGAAGGTTAGGTAGGGTGGGATGGGTAGGTGAGGATGTGCTTTGTAGACTGCTGTCCCAGTTCCATTTGCAGTTCCAAGTTCCAACTAACCCCCGATGATTTGTTCATCAGAAAATGGTAATAAATAATATTTACTCCGTACGTGTGTGGGAGAGAGAATAAGATGAATAATGAAATCGGTTAGCTAGGCCTAGGAGTAGGGTGTGACAAATGATACAATGGAATGAATGGGTTAGGGTGGTTACTTATTTTCTAGTAATCATGGTGTCAACCACTTTATATACCATTTGATTTTTTTTTTAATCTTACTGTCAAGATTGTTTTAGGGTAATTTTGGAAATGAAAAAGTGACAACACCTAATTATTCTATATAATCTACCCAAACCCTAGTTCTACCCTCCCTCCAGCCAAACCCGCCGCAACCGCCTCCACCACTCCAGTCGCACTAATCCTGTCGGCCGCCTACTCTAGCCCCAACGACGATGACTCCGTGCAGGCGACTCTGTGCCCTACTCCGACTCCGCCCTAGCCCTTTCCCACTCCTCTTCCTTCCTCACCCTCCGACTCTGCCTCTGCCACTCCCACCGCACTAGTCTCGCCGGTCACCTCCACCAGCTCCGACGCATCCACCGTGGCCCAGCCTCGAAAAAATCGGCTCCTTCGCTCCCGAACCGGAAGCTCACGGAAGAGAGAAAATCGATTCATGTACTCTTCATTGCCTTCGAGTGGAGAGAGAGATGGAGAGGGATTGAAAGAGAGCGCACCATGGATCATATATATATATATATATAGATACATGGAAGGTAACGAGAGCGAGAAGCAGAGTAGTGGAGGAAGGCAAAACCAAAAAGCAAAAAAATTGATTTTTTTTTCATGCAATGGTAGTGATCTACCATTTTCGTAGTTATATGCATATATTGGCAGTGATCTTGCAATGGTAGTGATCTTTTGGTGGATTGGTATGTTATTGATCTTGCAATGGTAGTGGTCAAGATGAGTTGCACTGTTTGTTGATCTTGCAATGATACGTGTGTGCGGTTTTGTTGAGACTAGCATGCATTGGTAGTGATCTACTGTATGGAATGGTAGTGTTCATTGTTATATGTGCAATGGTATTGTTCGAATTTTATGGAATGGTATTGATATCATACATAAGGTTGCTACAAACACTAGTTACTAACAATTGCAAAACATAAAAAAGCTATGCCAATCCCAATCAAACCCAACATATATACCAATAAAGATATGTATATACACTGAAACAATAATAAATCATACTTCTACTATGTCTGATGAAGAACGACGTCAACCATATGTCTACCAACGCAGAACTAACGACACTAATACCATTAAAACACAGGGACAAGCAAAACAATTCATTTTAATGGTACTGATATTGAACCAATACTAAACCATGCACATCTTACAAGTTACAACCATTATGCACTGCATCCAACTCATTTTCAATATTGAATACCAATCCATCAACAAAGATATACACCAATACCACAATGTAAACACTACCAACAAAACACAGCATCACTACCAAAACAATAAGCACTAGAATACAATTCCTACCCTTAATAGCCACGGTGATTACTACAAAGTAGTAATCACCTTAACCGCTCCCAATGTACAATTTCCTTTTAGTAAATGGTACTACATATTGGCCATTGTCAAAATTAATGAAAATAATTGTTTGAGAAATTTATTTCGATGGCCTACAAACATAGAGAGATAAATTTGTACAAAAATAATATATTAAAAAATATGTGTCGATGGGTATCAGAGACTTGTTGCCACAAAATTCGCTATATTGATTTTCATGCAACATCCTGCAAACACCTTGTCTAGGAATGACTTCCTCGTAGCTCCTTGCCCATGCAACGCAACCTGCTAAGTCTATTACTGCCGTTACATTCGTCGTCTTCGCATCACTCGCCATGGCCAATTACATTCTCATTCCACTCAATACTACCACCAGGACCTAGAGAGTTTGGGCACCAGAGAAGTTGCAGAAGCCATGAATTCGCAATACGTCAATGCCAACCGGAGTCATTTTCAAGCTCAATACTCGCCGCTCCCTTACCATAATTTTATCAAGACGATTGTCTTACACCCCCAGGACCACAACCTCAGTTCACCTTAGTTTGTCAAAGTTGGTTCCAAGATTGATACCTACGATTCACTTATAAAGATTTTCTCCACAAGAGTCTGTCATATGGCATGAGAATCCAGAGTTTTAAGGGTATCAGGATTAGAAAGGCAAGCTGTTGTGGACCACTGATGTTGTCATTGCACCAAATGTTGTTAACTTGCTTGTTGCGACATCACCAGTATCCTTCATCACCACAAGCCCTCTCATAGTAGACGAGACAATGATAAACTGGGAGTGATGATTAGAAGAGCTATCCACCAAATACATGGATCCCTCGATTACTATCAATTTCTATGAAGCAATCATCACCGTCATGCCAACATCTCAAACTCGGGAGTCCGCACCATTGACATCTGCACTATTATTGTGTGATCTTAATCTCTGTCGGAGAAGATTGTTGATTGCTACAAACTAACACTCCTAACATAGGCAAGAGAGCCAATGAAAGGATTATAATATACATAATATAATGGCTTCAAATTATAAAATATCGTAAGTTCGGTCTCCAAATTTATTAGAACTCAACTTCGTATGATTATTTAGAAAATTTGAATTACTAGTTTAGTTACTTCTATGAACTATGACTTCTTAAATTAGCAATTCAATGATTAACTAAAGTAAATGAATATAACTGGTTGGACTTAAAAGGTGAGAAAGCTCACTTGGTTATTGATTCCCCCTAGATTTTAGACAAATAACAATTGGTGCAACCCTAAACTTTTCAACTTATATTATCCAGTGCGGAAAATCCTTCACTGATCTTTGATCATCACTAATGATTTCAAGACCATTTCAAGTAGTTAGTCAAGTGACACATCTCTTCTTCCTTTTTTTTTTGGTAGAAAGAAAGATGTCAATGGCGTCTTAAATCATATTAGAGATAACACGGTCTTGGGATATACCCATACAATCGTAAGCTAACCATCGTCTAAGCCCCGGATCGCTCACTTCAACTTGATGTGTGGCAAAATCAAACTCATGAGCCTTGTTTGCTAAGTAGTCTACAACAAAGTTAGATTCTCTATACACATGAGACACTTTAACCTCCCCATCTAAACTCAAAAGATAGCCAAAATGCTCTGCAATAAGGACATGCCGATGATCATTGTCCCTGTAGTTTTTTATAATAGAAATTGCAGTGTTGGAGTCCAAGTTCAGCTGAACTTTTTTGTACCCCTGCTATCATGCAAGTAGCATACCCTCCATTGCACCCTTCAATTTTGCTATGGTGATTGACCATTATTCAAGTTTGCACATGAAGGCCCCTTTGCATCTCCCTAAGTGATCCCTTATGAGTGGCCCTACTGCAGCACGACCTTCTGGCTCCACGACTTATCCGTCAGTTTGGATCTAGATCCAGCCCTCTGGTGGAGGTTTCCAAGCAATTTGTTGTAGCTGCTGTTGTTTATTTATTTATTTTTTTTGCTGTTGGGATGATACTCTTTTTGTAGTTCTCTTGTGCTTGCCGATACACATTGCACAAAGCTTGGATTCATTGTATTAACCCTTTCTTTATGAAATTTCTCTCGTCCATTACTTCCTCGTTCCTTTGCTTCCACAAGTGCCAACACACAAAGCCAAAATCCACTCTCCTCTCTTCTGCTACAAGGTTGTCCATCATCCATTCCTTGATTGGTTTGTTGAGATCCCTGACAACTATTTTACTCCTTAAGCTATCCCAAAATGTCACATGCTTTCCTACATCTTCTGATGATATGCTCTATGGTATCATCCTCATTCCTACAGTTGTTGCAGATGTTGTTCGTAGTGAGTTTGCGTATGGTCCTTTCTTTGTTGGTGAGTAGGCCATCGTGGAAAACTAGCCAAATGAAGTGCTTCACCCTATTAGGCCTCTTCCATTGCAAGAGATCCTTCCAACTCTTCTCTACTTCTTCTTCCATCTCGTTTACAGCAAGCTTGAAGGCTGACTTGAGCCCTAATCTCTCATCTTTCTCCAACCCCCAAATTGTTTTGTCCTCTCTTGCATTTGGCTTTGGAGCTTCCATACATGCCATCATAGAAAGAACATAATGAGGAAGCAGATCCTTCAACTTATTTCAATTCCACTCACCTGTTCCTGTTACCCAATAACTTTCACACTCAGGCATATCAGTGAAGAGATAATCTTCCATAATGATTCCATTATCAAGCCAAGGCTGCCTCCAGAACTGAATAGTATTTCCATTCCTTATGCTCCAGTATGTGGCGCTTTTCATCAGCGGTAAGGCCTTCACAATGGCCCTCCAAAGATTGGAGTGGTTGCTAATCTTCATTGCAACAATATTGCCATTATTGTGCTTAAAATAATTTCCCTATAACACTCGAACCCACAGATGATTCTCATTATTAAACATATGCCAAGCCAATTTAATCATGTGTGCACTGTTTAAACTCCAAGCTGATTTAATTCCAAGTCCCCCTTGGTCTTTAGGTTTACATATGGTTTCCCACACAACCAAATGAACTTTTCTTCTACCTAATTGTGATCCCCAGAAAAACCATCAAATTTTCCTATAGATTTCATCACACGCTGAAGTAGGGAGCATAGTTGTTTGCATAGCATATGTGGGGATAACATTCAACATTGCAGTTGCTAATGTGACTCTACCCGCCAAAGACAGGGTTCTAGCCTTCCAAGCATTCAATTTCTGATCCATCTTATCAATTATGTACTTGTATGTGTTCTTAGTGAGTCTACCATGCAAGACTAGCACTCCTATATACCTTCCCAAATTAGTAGTAGATTGAATATTAAGGGTACTACAGATCTCTTTGTTGTCATGTTTTTATTATTTTTAGAAAAGTAGACTCTAGATTTTTCCTTGTTAATCAATTCTCCTGAAGCGCTACAAAATCTTCCACACAATTCAAAATGATAACAACTTGGAATAAATTAGCCTCCAAGAAAAGGACCAAGTTGTCAGCAAAAAACAAATGGGACAAGGCTAGGTTTCCAATTTCCTAACCTCTTTAAGAATGCAGTGACCAAGCCTTTCGACACATAGAGTAAAGAGATAGCGAGAAAGTGGACATCTCTGTCTTAAACCTCTGGTTCTGGTGAAGTCTTTTGTTTCTCCTCCATTCCATAGTACTTGCATACTTGTTGTAGTCACGCACTGCATAATCAGCCTTATACAATCCTCAGGTAGCCTTGTTGCCCTATGTGTTTCTTCAAGAAAAGTCTAATCAATTCTGTTGTATGCTTTTTTCATATCAACTTTGAGGACCATGTGTCCTTTTCCCCCGTCCTCCTCGCCATAGAATGCATTGTTTCCTGCAAGATCAAAATATTATAAGTTATATGGCAATTGATAACAAAACGCGATTGGTTCTGGTGTACTAGTTGGGGCATTAAATGTTTCAGCTTGTTAGCTATGCACTTTGCCACCACATTGTACCCAACGTTACATAGGCTTATGGGCCTAAATTGGTTCATCGGCGCTGGCGCATCCACTTTAGGGATAAGAACAAGAAGGGTTTCATTCAAGCTTCTAATCTTCTCTAGGTACATGAAACAATCAATAACCCTTTTAGTAAAGTCTTCACCCACATAATCCAAACAATTTTCGAAAAACAAAGCATGAAAACCATCTTTTCCTGGTGCTTTCAACCCATTCATTCCCATAACAACTGATCTAATTTCCTCTGGAAAAGGTACAACTCCAACTCTTGCTGTCAAAGACTCTTTGATGACGGGAAGTCAGCATCAACATGGATTCGATCAGTTTCTTCATCCCTAGAGAACATTATAACATATTACTCCCACGTCATGGACTTTAAGACTTCTGGATCAGTTATCCATTGTCACCTCTCTTCAATCCAACTAACAAAACAAAGTTTAAAACATAGATTTCCACTAGAGGGCTTCCTCCTTGTACATAGGAATCAAATAACTTATTTTCATGCAATTAATCAACCCCTTCCAATGTATGTGTTTCAATCAACCGAATTAGATTGCTCTCTCCTAGTTCGAAACACAATTCACCTAAACTTGGCTAGAGATGAGGGAAAACCCAATAAAATATAGTTTGGTATAGAAATAGAAGTATATCAAGTCTTGGTTCACAATCAATAAATCATTTAAGTAATCAAGCTAACATTCCTCAAACCCAAATGATGAGAAAAGCTTAAATCATAGGGAAAGAGAGCTCAAATCGCGACAAGGCGCTTTCGTCTCCTCCTAATGCTTTGATGAGCTTTTGAACAACATGTTGTCCTTGAGTTGATTCTTCAAAGATCGGCCTCCGTTTTTTCTCCTTGATTGAATTCTCCTTCCTTTCCCTTCACCATCTAACAAGGTTGGGTATTCACAACTCCTTCTTTGCTAAAGTTGCTTAGAATCAAGTTCTCACGATTTGTAGGACCAAATTTTGATATGGATCTCGTGAGTAGGTGTGAGGAAAAAGAACAGGGGACGTCTCCCTTTTATTGGCGAGCGTGTGTTAGTGGCGGAGGGTACCACTATCTGTTTTCTTCTTGGATATAGACTCTTACAAGCCCATTTTTGTGTAAGACATGTAAAACTCACAGTGATGGGGAGGTTCTCTAGCATAAATGGAGCGGCGGTGGGTCCTCATGCCCTTTCCTTGCTGGAAATGGTCTGTTTGTAGTCCTTCTTTGCATAGGAAAAGTAAGGAGAGAGGTGGTAGGAAATTTTTGTATCGTCGCTCCATTTCATTTTCCTTTTATGATTTTGTTCTCCATATCCTTGAATGATACGTCAGAGGGGAGGGTTTTGAATTATTTCATCTTTCCTTTTAATTTTTCTTTGAATTTCACAACAAAAGCGTCAATGCAACAAAATGGAGGGAGAGCAAGTGCTCTTCCTCCTCAACATAGATATAAAACTAAAAAGCAAAAGCAATCATCCATGTGTTTCATAATCACTTCTACTCGAACAACTCTCTAAAATTTCATTCAAGCAACTATTTCTACCCCACACTTCATGCTTAAAATTCATTTTTTACTCAAGTAGAAATGTGAAATTTTGATTCAAAAGAAACTAATACGTCCTAGACAATATCTAAAAGTAGTGGGTACTTACCTTGATATAGGGAGAATATCTAAGGAGAAAGGCTTACGAAACAAACGATTAAGGCTTAGGGAATCTCATTGACTCCCTGGTAGTACTTATATTTTATATCCTTAAGTTGGATACAAAACATGGGTTACCTCTCGAGTATGGCTGGAGGGCTGTTGATTTTGGTTTAACCAAAAACCAAAAACTCAGTTATCGGTTAACCAAGCCACCCCCTTCTTCCTGCCGACCACCGACCGAGAGAGGCTACATGGTTAACCAACCACCGACTGGTCAGTTATCGGTTTTGGTTCGATTAGCTGTGTAGCCGAAATTGTGCCTGCAGGTTCGGTTTAAACCAGTTTACCGACCCAAAACAGCCCCACTCGCATGAAAATATCAGTAAAACTGCCTAAAATCAAAGGCTCAAACCTACATTTCTACATCTAAATCATCCAAAGTGGAAGTCTCAATCCCTTTCGCATCGAAAATACATATAAATCACCAAATTAATGTCGTAAATTCAACAACATAAAGTCATGAACTTCACAAAGTCACAAATGACATTAAATCCAAATAGCAACAACAAATCACCATCATTCATCACTTATCAACACCAGCAGAAGAACCAACATTTGCAAAACCCTTTTCTTTCAATCGTACCAACAAGTCATGACCATACTCGTCATATCCATCTTGCTCATACTCTTCCTCGGGCACTTCTTCTTCTTCAACCTCATTCTCATCCTCCACTCAAATGTTGAGACTTGCATCTACATTAGCAACATTGTCAGTATCACTTGCACTTTCCATTATAGACTGGAAAGTGGTATTCACTGAGTAAGAAAAAAGAAAACAATCACCTTCTTAAAATCCTTGAGTATGACAATGTCAACCACCAGCTTCTTAAAATCCTTCCAGCAATCAGTCTTACCCTTTATATTGACCATTTCTCTAGGTCTAAGTTGTCGCCTTTAACCTTCTCTGAAGCAGAAGCAACCGTGTGAACAGTTGGAGTATCATCAAATGTAGTTCTAGTATCGACAGGGGTAGGATTCGATGGAGTTGATGAAGACGGTTAAGCATCATCAACAGACCGACTTTCTGAACGCGCATCATGAGGCCGAGGCCAAGCAGGAGGGATGTGGCACCCGCATCACCACGACCTCGAGGAGGCCTCCCAATACGAGGAGCAGCCGCATCAGCAGGGGCACCTCGTCCGCCACGTCCACCACGAGGAACCGGAGGTCTCGCCCTACAGAAACAATTACACAAATTGAGAAATTGAAACTCAATTCTAAAAAATTCTAAGACATTCTTTTCATAATTAGTTTGAATTGGAAATCATCATCAACTCGCAAGTCACAAGCAGTGTAGTGAAAATCACGCATTAAAACGTAAAAACTAGTAAAAACATGGGTAAAATCGCTTAAAATCGGTAAAATCGTGATTTTGAAGCGTTTTTATACGATTTTGATCTTCTCTTAAAAATGTGCTAATTGGCCCAAAATGATGTAATTTTGGAGACATATCAACAAAAAATAAAAATGAAAACATGATTCATCACTCGTTCTACAACTAGTGTCGAGATAGGGGATTCACATTAGGTTGAAAAGACACCTAATGGTATTCTCAACAACCGCTGACCTTCTATCAGTCTTCTCCCTTAATCTTCACCTGTGGCTCTTACCTGGGTTACGATAAAAGTTTATGGCTCTTACCTGTAATTATGTAAACTCAAACCAGCTTATGAGAATTTGGATTCTCAAGCTCGTTTACAAGTTACGATCTACTTTTATGAGCTTATTATTAATATGTTATGAGTTTTCTCTATTTTGAGTCAACACAAATTAGTTTATGTGTTAGATATTACATTTTAATTATGAATTTCATGTAGTTATCACTTATCTAAAATCTACACGCTCACATTTTACATACTATATGTTGTACTTAACATATTTTAGCTATTTTACGCTTTTACGCTTTGATTCTACGTTTTATGATTTTACCCATTTTCCGCTTCTAGGTAGAATCGCGCTTCTCCCTTAATCTTCACCTGTGGCTCTTACCTGGGTTACGATAAAAGTTTATGGGTAGTTGGTTGTATGTAATTATGTAAACTCAAACCAGCTTATGAGAATTTGGATTCTCAAGCTCGTTTACAAGTTACGATATACTTTTATGAGCTTATTATTAAGATGTTATGAGTTTTCTCTACTTTTGAGTCAACACAAATTAGTTTATGTGTTAGATATTACATTTTAATTATGAATTTCTTGTAGTTATTCACTTATCTAAAATCTACACGCTCACATTTTACATACTATATGTTGTACTTAACATATTTTAGCTATTTTACGCTTTTACGCTTTGATTCTACGTTTTATGATTTTACCCATTTTCCGCTTCCAGGTAGAATCACGCTTTTAACTGCATTGGTCACAAGCATCAACGAAATTCACACGAAGTCACACAAATTCCCACAAGCATCATCAACTCACATTACAACTTACAAGCATCAAAATCATCAACTCCCACAACCACAATAATAATCAATTAATCATCTAAATCATCATCAACTCCCACAACCACAATAATAATTTTTAACTTACATTCATTACAGTTCAAACATACATCTAAAATCATCATAAACTCCCATTATAAAAAAAACTTACATTACAGTCAAACTTCAAAGCGGACGGCGAGAGGGTTGGCGCCTTGGCGGGGATCGCGGGGGAGGGAGATGGCGGACTGGTGGTGGTTGATGGAGCCGAAGGGGGAGGGAGACGGCGGTGGTTGTTGGAGTCAGCAGTAGCGGGGGTTCGCGCGGGGGGGGGGGGGGGGGGGGGGGGGGAGGGTCGTCGGGGGTCGTGGGGAGACGACGGTTGGCGGGGGAACTATGAATAGTTGTCGAAAAGGTGAAAGGAGAGGTGTCAGTCATTGATGGATTTGGTCGTCTAGAGGAAGGAGGCGGCGAGGTGAGAGGGACTAAGGGGTGAGAGGTCGACAATAGGAGGATATGGTTGGGAGTTGGCTGGGGTAGTTTTTGGAGTTTTAAAAAAACGACATCGTTTTGGTGGAGAACGGGGTCGTATGGGCATTGGTGGAAGCTCGATTGGTTAGCTTTGGTTAGCCGCTTAACCAAATTTGGTTACTCGGCTATCCAAAGCAACTATACTCTTCGCCGACGACCGACCAAACACGATAGCCGTCGGTTTGCGATTAGCCTCTAACCGACGGTTATCGGTTAAACCGTCGGTTATCCACTAACCAACAACCGATCAGCCACTCCTAGTCTCAAAAGGCGTTCTTTCTTTTATGATTTTGAGCTAGGCTTAACTCCAAGCTCTTCAAACTCCCCAACTTACGGTTTCTTTGAAGTCCATTGTCATAAGTGTAGGCTGCAGTTGTGTGCATTCCTTCTTCCTCCTATGATTTGGCAATGTGTCATGGAGAAGTTTCCACCATAGTCTTCACCTTGCATCTTTTACTCCACATTTTGATTTGGCATTGTGAGTTTTGTAGGGATACATGTACATAGAAAAACTCATATATATCCCTCTCTAGGTTAAATAAGACGCCAAGATTTTTTCAGTTATCTTAATGTCTGCAACTTCGAGAATGGTATTCACCAATTCTTCAAGAGTTTTCTTTGAAAAGTTGGGCTCTTCAATCTTCTCCATTTCATCCTTTTGTTCAAAGTTTATGTTTTCTAATGGTTGTGTTAAACTTTGAAAAGAAGATGAAAGGGTGTTCATGGCAGTGAGCTAGATGCTCTTTCTTCGTTGCTAACTCTTCCACAATCTTTTGGATGGTGGTGGTATTGTGTTCCCTTCCTTCTTCAGGGGCCGTATTGGTCTTACCAACATTTCTTGTTGGTGGCTCCTCTTGAAGCTCCTGATTTTTATGTTTTTTTGTCTTTATGCTTCTTATCCAGTTCTTATTGAGGATGTTCTTTAGGTTCCATCTTTGGTTAGATAGGTAAAGTTGGTTGCTCCTCTAGTGGCTCCTCTTTTTTATGCTCCACTTGAGTTGATTATCCTCGAGTGAAGTCTCCTCCTCTACTTCCTATTTTTAAGGTCTATGGGGCAAAGGATTATTGTAAACCTTGACTAAGAAGTTTAGGGGGATCATCACACTCGGTTTCTTCCTATAGGATGTTTCCAATGGTGGAGGATGTGGTAGTAGGTGGTTTAAGTGAGGATGCAGATTGAAGAAGTGTAGGAGATGTTGAAAACCTTAAAGTACTGTGACACCTTCAAGGAACGGTAATTCTCAAAATCTATCCTGTCTTTGTAAATCCTGGTGGGAAAAGGAAGCTTAGGCTTATATTCAGCCACTACTGGTTGTGGCTTTGGAGCTTGATCCTCTGGCTCCTTTTCCATCACCAGGTCTTCTTCCGGCTCTGGGGTGATCTAGGTCACCTTCTTGGCACTCTTCTGCGGTGCATCCTCAGTCACAGTCCCACTTCTCAACATAATGACGTGCAACCCCTCCTTATGATTTCTGGGATTCGGTAGGGGTTGGCCAGGAAGTGTGCCAGCTGGTCTGGAAGCAAGGGCATCTGCTAGGTGCCCGATCTTGGTGTCCATATCCTGTAGGAGTGTCTGCTAGTTTCTCTGGCCAGCTTCAACCTTCATGAATTTTCCTGCAGCCACTTCCTTGAATTGCTCCAATTTATTGAACTTTTGGGTACTAGTGTTGGCCAAGGTAGTCACTAGATCTCTCAGTTCTAACACGGGATCGCTCGGTGCTGGGACTGATGGAGATGCACCAAGCTGCTGGTACTGCTGCTGTGGGGGCTGTTGAAAAGCCTTCCCCTGTCTGGGCTGATAAAGTGGTTGTTGTTGCTGCATCTGGCCTGGCCGAGGCTGGTATGGCTGCCTCTGGTTTGGTAAACTAGCTGCAGGAGCTTGGAAGCTAGGTGGCTTCGGATTGCTGTTGCCACTCCAGGAGAAATTTGGATGTTAACGCCATCCCTCATTGTAGGTGTTACTATATGGGTCGTTGCGCCGGACATTGTTGATGAAGTTCACCTCCTCCTGGGGTGTACTGGACTCACGCATGGCCTGGCAGTCCTCTATAGTATGATGGGCGCTCTCGCACCATTGGCAACGCATTGTCGGCTGCTGCCCTTTCCCCGGAACCATCCCATTCCGATCGACGGCTGAGACCAGTTTAGACACAACCTGCACCAAATCAGAAGAGTGGGTGCCCACAACATGTACACCTCGGCTTGGTGCTCGCCTTGACCTCCTAGCAGTGCCCCAATCATACCCTTTCTCTGCCATCTACTCAAAGAGCTGATTCAACTGCGGCGGCGTCTTGGTCAACATGTTCCCGCCACAAACCGAATCAATCAGCTGCTTGTCTTCTGGGAAGAGGGCGTGGTAGAAGGTGCCCACCTTGAAAGCATCATTGAAACCATGATTGGGACACCTCAGGAAGAAACTGGTGTATCTCTCCCATGCGTCCCGGATGGTCTCATCTTCATTCTAGGCAAAGTGAGTGATCTGCTTCTGCAAATCCGCCATTTTTGACGGAGGATGATATCGGGTGAGGAACTTGTCCGCCAGGTTGGCGAACGTGGTGATCGATCCGGGAGGCCTAGTGTCCAGCCACTCCTTGGCTTGCCCCTCCAGAGTAAATGGGAAGTACCTCAGCTGGATGGCATCGGCTGGGACCCCATTTATCTTGATCCCATCTATGAGCTCGTGGAACCTCCTCAGGTGTGATCGCGGGCATTCTCCTTCCTTGCCACGGAATACCACCAAGTCGCGCAGCATGGTGATGATAGAGGTACTCACCTCAAAGTTTTTGGCAGCAACTTGAGGGTGTTGGATGGGAGACCTCATGTCTGCGCCGCGGGCAGTCCAGTAATAGCCCATGGTTTGCTCCTCGGGAATGAGCACATCATTGTTCTATGGTTCACCCATTTCTTCCTCCTCGGTGATGTGCAGTTTCTCCACAGCTTCCTCCATAGCTAGTCGTGCCTTTAGAGTCCGCTTGAGGTTACGACAGGTTCGTTCAATTTCCTAGTTCAATGGCAGTAGATCTCCCGACTGGCTACGGGTCATGCACTACCTGCACGCAATCAGCAAAAGCAACCCGTGAAGGTACACAGGTGGAAGAGAGAGAATGTAGTAAAGAAAAGGGTAGAGCAACAGACTTTCACATTTCTACAATAACCTAGAGGTCCCCGGCAACGGCGCCAAAAACTTGACACGCTAAAACACAACACCAAACTGCAACCAAGTGTAATCGCAGTCCGGAAATGCAGTAAAGTAGCAAGCTCTATTTGTCAACCCGGG